GGATGGGATGGGATGGGGATGGGATGGGGACGGGGATGGGATGGGATGGGGTGACCATGGCTACCAGAGGGATCCAGCCACTGCAGCACTGACAGGTCCCTCATCTCCCTGGTTCAGTCCTTCGTCCATCCCCGCGCTGAGGAGCTCCTGGCTCTGGATTTCGAGCGGGTCGGGCGGCTGCACTACAAGGGTGGCCTCAACCTGGAGCACTCCAAGGAGGGCTGGTTCGCCCTGGCCGGCTCCGAGCTCCACGGCTGCTTCCAGGACAGTGAGAGGCAGGAACCTCTCCAGCTGCGCAAGCTGCAGGAGCTCTGTGAGCTTGGGGACAGGGTCATGGACTGACAGGACTTGTGCTTGGGTTGGAAGGGACCTTAAAGCTCATCCAGCCCCAACCCCCCTGCCAGCAGCAGGGACACCTTCCACTAGACCAGGTTGCTCAAAGCCTCATCCAACCTGGCCTTGAGAAGCTCATGTTGAGCTTCTCGTCCCCCAGCACCCCAAGTCCTTCTCCTCAGAGCTGCTCTCCAGCCATTCTCCACCCAGCCTGGATTTGTGGTTGGTGTTGCCCCAACCCAAGTGCAGGACCTTGCCCTTGGCCTTGTTGAATTCCATGAGGTTTGATCTCATTGATGAAGCTGTTAAACAGCTCCAGTCCCAACACCAACCCTGGGGAGATGCCACTCACCACCGGTCTCCACTTGGACAATGAACTGTCCCCCAAATCCTGCCCAGAGCAGTTGGGTTGCACCCAACCAAGGTGGTTCTGGGGAGATGTTGCTCTGATGGAGCTTGGGATCCTTCCACTGGGTGGGATGCAACTGCTCTTCCTCCTCTCCATCCTCTTCTCCATCCTTGGAAAGTTCTTTGTCCCATTTGGGTTGGACACATTGGCACAGCCCCCCCCACCACATGGCACATGGGGCTTGGGTGGGCACCAGGTGACCCCCATATTCCCATGGGTGACAGATCTCTGTCCCTTCCAGCCATCCAGGGAGACAACGAGGTGCTGGTGTTGGTGGAGAGACGGAGGTAAGAGCAGAGGGGGTGAAGGGGGGTTAGATCCCACCAGCAAAATATCCCACCCTCCCCAATCCCCCCTTCTTCCTGGGGTGTCTTCACCCTCCCCATGGCAACTGGAGACCCCCAGAAAGGGAGTTGGGACCATCCACAAGACCCCAGTACTGGTGTTCCTGGTGGTCCCATCCATGGTTGGGAATGCTCTGGTTCCATGGAGGTGGGATGGTCCATGCCCATGATCTGGGAGTGCTCTGACCTCATGAAGCCCCATGGAGGTGGGATGGTCCATGCCCATGATCTGGGAGTGCTCTGACCTCATGAAGCCCCATGGAGGTGGGATGGTCCATGCCCATGATCTGGGAGTGCTCTGACCTCATGAAGCCCCATGGAGGTGGGATGGTCCATGCCCATGATCTGGGAGTGCTCTGACCTCATGAAGCCCCATGGAGGTGGGATGGTCCATCCCTATGATCTGGGAGTGCTCTGACTTCATGAAGCCCCATGGAGCTTCATGGAGTTGGGGTTCTCCAGCCTCGCTGATGCTGAGTTTGCCAGCAGAACGTTGTACATCCAAGGGGAGAGGAAGTTGGATTTCCTGGGCTGGGTCCAGGCCATCCAGAAGGCTTCAAGCAGCTCTGGGGACACCTTGTCAGAACAGCAGTTGACTGAGTTGGATGTCCCATTGTTGGTGGATCGTTGCATCGATTACATCACCCAGTGTGGTAGGTGCCGTCACCCACCACCGGATGCTGGTAGAGATGGTGGTTTGAGACCTGATGTGCTCATGACATGTGTTTTCATCCTTCCTGGAGCATCTGCTCTAGCTTCGTGGGAGGATTTTGGCTGGAGCAGAACTTTGGCTCCAACTCATGGCTCTTTGGTGGTCGCGACAACATCTGCGTGGTGGGAAACACCACGATCCCCCAACACCGGTGTTGGATGGGATGAGTTGGGGGGTCAGGAGGGGTGATTGTCCCCCCATGGAGGAGGTCTCATCCCCACTGGTTCTCCCCCCTCCTTCCCAGGCCTGACATCTGAAGGTATCTACCGCAAGAGTGGGCAGAACTCCAAGACCACCAACCTGCTGGAGATGCTGCGGCGGGACGCCCGCAGTGTTCGGCTGAAGGAGGGTGAACACCAGGTGGATGATGTTGCCAACACCCTCAAACGCTTCTTCCGTGACCTTGGAGATGGGCTCTTCACCCAGCAGTGGGGTCAGGACTGGTTACAGGCCACGGGTGAGTCCTGGGGGGCTGGTGTTGGGGTCCCTGGAGCTGCTGCAGCCACTGTTGTCTTCTCGGCTGGGTTATGTGGTGGGATCCCATGTGTCTTGGTGGGTGGGGAGTGGGTGGGTGGGTGCTCACTCTGACCCTGTCCAGCTCTGGAATGGTGGGGGCTGAGGTAGGGCAGAGAGCCAGACCCACCAACCCCACCCTTCCCTTCTGGATCTGGGCCTGGAATATCGGGAAGGGACAAAGCCAGCGGAGAAACAGCTGCCAGCCACGTGCTCTGCAGCTGGAGTGACCCAGCCCCACAGAGCTGGGGTGATCCAGCCTCTGGGTGATCCAGCCCCACAGAGCTGGGCATGGAGCTGTGGTGCTCTGGTCCTATGGACCTGAGATGCTCCAGCCCCACAGACCTGGGGTGATCCAGCACCATAGAACTGGGGTGATCCAGCTTCTAGATGCTCCAGCCCCATGGGGCTGGGGTGATCTGGTCCTATGGACCTGAGATGCTTCAGCCCCACAGAGCTGGGGTGATCCAGCACCATGGAACTGGGGTGATCCAGCACCATGGAGCTGAGGTGATCCAACCTCTGGATGCTCCAGCCCCATGGAACTGGGGTTCTCTAGTCCCATGGACCTGAGATGCTCCAACCCCACAGAGCTGGGGTGATCCAGCACCATAGAACTGGGGTGATCCAGCTTCTAGATGCTCCAGCCCCATGGAACTGGGGTTCTCTAGTCCCATGGACCTGAGATGCTCCAACCCCACAGAGCTGGGGTGATCCAGCACCATAGAACTGGGGTGATCCAGCTTCTAGATGCTCCAGCCCCATGGAACTGGGGTTCTCTAGTCCCATGGACCTGAGATGCTCCAACCCCACAGAGCTGGGGTGATCCAGCACCATAGAACTGGGGTGATCCAGCTTCTAGATGCTCCAGCCCCATGGAACTGGGGTTCTCTAGTCCCATGGACCTGAGATGCTCCAACCCCACAGAGCTGGGGTGATCCAGCACCATAGAACTGGGGTGATCCAGCTTCTAGATGCTCCAGCCCCATGGAACTGGGGTTCTCTAGTCCCATGGACCTGAGATGCTCCAACCCCACAGAGCTGGGGTGATCCAGCACCATAGAACTGGGGTGATCCAGCTTCTAGATGCTCCAGCCCCATGGAACTGGGGTTCTCTAGTCCCATGGACCTGAGATGCTCCAACCCCACAGAGCTGGGGTGATCCAGCACCATAGAACTGGGGTGATCCAGCTTCTAGATGCTCCAGCCCCATGGAACTGGGGTTCTCTAGTCCCATGGACCTGAGATGCTCCAACCCCACAGAGCTGGGGTGATCCAGCACCATAGAACTGGGGTGATCCAGCTTCTAGATGCTCCAGCCCCATGGAACTGGGGTTCTCTAGTCCCATGGACCTGAGATGCTCCAACCCCACAGAGCTGGGGTGATCCAGCACCATAGAACTGGGGTGATCCAGCTTCTAGATGCTCCAGCCCCATGGAACTGGGGTTCTCTAGTCCCATGGACCTGAGATGCTCCAACCCCACAGAGATGGGGTGATCCAGCCCCATGGAACTGGGGTGATCCAACCTCTGGATACTCCAGCCCCATGGAGCTGTGGTGCTCTGGTCCTATGGACCTGAGATGCTCCAACCCCACAGAAATGGGGTGAACCAGCACCACGAAACTGGGATGATCCAGCCTCTGGGTGCTCCAGCCCCATGGAACTGGGGTTCTCTGGTTCTCTGGGATGCTCCAACTCTGAGATGCTCCAGCCCCATGGAGCTGGGATGCTCCAGTGCTGGGGTGCTCCCACCCCATGGAGCTGGGATGCTCTGGTCCCATGGAGTTGGGGTGCTCCAACCTCACAGAGCTGGGATGCTTGAGCCCCATGGAGTTGAGATGATCCAGCTCCATCATTCTGAGATGCTCTGGTCCCTTGGAGCTGGAATGTTCCAGCCCCATGGTGAGACAGGAAGGTCCAAGGTGAAGTCTGGAGAGGGGAATGTTGAAGCCATGAATCTTCATCTCACCTTCATCCTCCTCCACATGCTCATCCTCTCCCTCGTGGCCCTCTCACAGCGCTGGAGGATGAGGAGGAGAAGGTTGGCGAGTACCGGCGGCTCCTGGCCACCCTCCCCACGGTGAACCGGGCCACGCTGAAGACTCTCATCAACCACCTCTTTCGGTAACCTTGGCAAGGCTGAGGTGGGTCCTGGGGTGGGGGATCTCCAGGGCAGGAATCATACCAGGGTTCTTCACAGGGTCCAACTCTTCTCTGGGGAGAACCAGATGAACACACACAACTTGGCCATCGTCTTTGGGCCCAAGGATGGGAAGGACTACAAGGCAGGACGTGTGGTGGAGGACCTCATCACTCACTACGTGAAGATCTTTAATGTAGGTTCATCCCCACCCTCAGCTCTGGAGCTGCTCTGGATCAGACCAATGTCTGGACATCCCCAAGGGATGGGGAGGTGGAAGGAGGAGGAAGCTGGATCTGCTCTGTCTGCAGATATCTCCTGGCTTTGGAGATGATGGGAGGGTGTGAGATGAGGGTCCATCTCCCTGCAAACCCTGAAGATCCTCAAGCCTGGAGGTGTTGGCACCACTGGGCAAGAGAGAAGATTCCTCTGGAGACCCATGTCTGCTTCTGCATGGAAACTTAAGGGTGGTCTGGTCAACCCTGATGGCTCCCTGGGCTCTTCTTCCTTGGCAGGTCAATGACCAAGAGATGAAGAAGCAGCAGGATGAGATCATGGCCATCATGAAGATGCGGGAGGCAGCGTCCAGTGGGACACAGGTGGGTCCTGGACATGGGGACTTTCTTGGGGAACCTCCTTTGCATGGGGACCTCATCTCCTGGAGATGCCCCAGGCAGGGGGTGTCCACACTGGGTGGTGGGATTTGGCCAACACGTGGGAGGTCACAGATTGAAGTCCTTTCCTGTTGCCCTCCAGCAAGCTGGGGACTTCATCTGCACTGTCTACCTGGAGGAGAAGAAGACAGAGACAGAGCAGCACGTCAAGGTGAGCGGTGGGGTGGAGGAGGAGGGAGGGCACAGAGGGGACAGGGACCTCCTGTTGTATGGCCAAAGCTCTGTGGTGGCACGGGGAGATGCTCTGAGCTGGCATGACCTCGGACACTGGCTGATGGAGACCTGTCCCTTCCCTCCATCCCTTCCAGATCCCGGCCACCATGACAGCTGAGGAGCTCACCTTGGAGATCCTGGACAGGAGGAAAATCATCATGAAGGAGAAGGACTATTGGAGCTGCTTCGAAGTGAACGAGAGGGAGGAGGCAGGTTGGTGCTGGGGCATCAGGGTGGTGGGAATGGGGATGGGGGAGAGGATGGAGGTGGGGATAGGAATGGAGATGGGGATGAAGATGGGAATGGGGGTGGAGACAGGGATGGAGATGGAGATGGAGATGGAGATGGAGATGGAGATGGGATGGGATGGGATGGGATGGGATGGGATGGGGATGGAGATGGAGAATGGGATGGAGATGGAGATGGAGATGGGGACAGGGATGGGGTTGTGGATGGAGATGAGAATGAGGATAGAGATGGTGATGGAGATAGAGATAGGGATGGGGATGGGGATCAAGATGGAGATGGGGATGGGGATGGAGAATGGGATGGGGATGGGGATGGAGATGGAGATGGAGATGGAGATGGAGATGGAGATGGGGATGGGGATGGGGATGAAGATGGGAATGGGGGTGGAGACAGGGATGGGGATGGAGATGGGGATGGGAATGGAGATGGCAATGGAGATGGAGATGAAGATGGAGATGGAGATGAGGATGAAGATAGGGATGGGGATGGGGATAAAGATAGGGATGAGATGGAGATGACAATGGAGATGAGGATGGACATGGAGATAGGGAAGGGGATGGAGATAGAGATGATGGAGATGGGGATTGGGATGGGGATGGAGATGGAGACAGAGAATGGGATGGGGCTGGAGATAGGGATGGAGATGGAGATATGGACGGGAACAAGAAGTCTCCCATGGGGACCACACCGTGAAGCAATGCCAGGATGGGCTCCAGGCGTGGGGAGGAGTCCATCTGCAGCACCATGGCTTTGCTCACCACATCCAGGTTGCACATGGCCAAGTGCTGTGGGTGGGCTGGTGGTTTGGACCAGGACCCAGAGGGTGTCAAGTGCCTTTGAAACCTGGTGGGATCATCCCTGGGGTGCCCGTAGGCAGCAACAAGCGAGAGCTTGGTGTGAGCAGGATGAGCCCATGGTTCTCCTTGATGGTCCCCAAGCTCCTGGTGCCCAGGGCCATGCCAGGCAGGGACACCAGCAGGATGCTGAGCACCACTGGAAGCTCCTGCCCAAAACACGCGTGTTTCTCCATCATGGGATCTGGTGGCACTTGTTCCTGTGTCACCTTCCAGTCCCTGTGGGCCACCGCTGCCCATGGATCACGGGCCAAAAGTCTCCTCCCCAGAGAACAAAAGTCACCTCCTCAGGGGACCACGGGACAAGGTCACCTCCCCAGGGGACAAAAGTCACCTCCTCAGGGGACAAAAGCCACCGGGACAAATGTCACCTCCCAAGGGGACCACAGGGCAAGAGTCACCTCCCCAGGAGACCACGAGTCAAAAGCCACCTCTGCAGGGGACTATGGGCCAAAAGTCATCTCCCCAGAGGACAAGTCATCTCCCCAGGGGACCACAGGCCAAAAGGCAGCTCCCCAGGGGACCATGGGACAAAGGTCACCTCCTCAGGGGACCACAGGACAAGAGTTACCTCCCCAGAGGACAAAAGTCACTTCCCCAGGGGACCACAAGTCAAAAGTCACCTCCCCATGGGCCATGGGCCAAAAGTCACCTTCCCAGAGGACAAAAGTCACCTCTCCAGGGGACCACGAGTCAAAAAGCCACCTCTGCAGGGGACTATGGGCCAAAAGTCACCTCCCCAGAGGACAAAAGTCACCTCCTCAGGGGACCACGGCCCAAGGTCACCTCCTCAGGGGACCACAGGACAAAAGTCACCTCCCCAGAGAACAAAAGTCACCTCCTCAGAGTCACCTTCCCAGAGGACAAAAGTCACCTCTCCAGGGGACCACGAGTCAAAAAGCCACCTCTGCAGGGGACTATGGGCCAAAAGTCACCTCCCCAGAGGACAAAAGTCACCTCCTCAGGGGACCACGGCCCAAGGTCACCTCCTCAGGGGACCACAGGACAAAAGTCACCTCCCCAGAGAACAAAAGTCACCTCCTCAGGGGACCACAGCCCAAGGTCACCTCCTCAGGGGACCACGGCCCAAGGTCACCTCCCCAGGGGACCACAGGACAAAAGGTCACCTCCCTAGGGGACAATTTGGGGACGCCAGTTAAAAGACAATGGTGATGTGTGGGAGTTCTGCTCAGGAGACCAGCAAGATCTTGGCAGAGCCCTGGGGACACCTGTGTGACCCTCCCTTGGTGGGTGACAGTCCCCAGGGTGCTCCCTGAGCCCTGCCTGTCCCCCTGTCCCACAGAACGTCCCTTGCACTACTCGGAGAAGGTCCTGCCCATTGTCCATGGCCTGGGCACAGAGAGCTACCTGGTGGTGAAGAAGCAGATGTCCATGGAGAACATGCTCATCTACCTTGGTGAGGAGCTGGAAGTCATGGAGTGGTGGGGATGGGGATGGGGATGGGGATGGG